GGCTGGGGGTGCCCTGGGGGTGGCGCCGGCGCGGCCTCACCGCAAGCTGCTGCTGCTGCTGGCCTGGGAGCTGCCCACCCCTGGGTGCTCCGGACTGTGCCGGTTCTGCAGAGGAAGGACAGACGCATCCCGTGAGATCTCCTGCTCGACTGCAGCACCCCCAGGGGCATGGCTGCTCACCGGCTCTGGGTCCTGCTGCGGCCTGGGCCAAGCTCGCTAGCAGATGGCCCCTGGGGTTGGCACAGGCTGGGAATCAGACCCCGGCTCTCCCCACCCACCTTCTTTTTCTTCTTCTCTTTCTTCTTCCTCTTCCGTTCCGGATCCTCCTCTTTTTTCTTCTTTTTCTTCTTGTGGTCAGAGTCTGAGGGGGTTTCTGGATAAACAAGAGTGGCAGATGAGCTGGGCATCCCCTGGCCCCGGGGCTGGATGGAAGAGGGGGAGGCTGCGGCAGTGAGGCACAGCCCCTTACCTGGGGGGACGGGATCCTGGGTGCGGCTCTGCTTGTGCTTGTGCTTGTTCTTCTTCTTTGGCGGCTGGATGTGCATCAGCCGGCACTGCTCAGGCAGCTGGGGGGAGGAGATGGGGCTGCTCAGGGCAGGCAGGGCACCTCCCACCCTGCTGCCTCTGGTCTGAGCAGCCGACCCCCAGCCCTCAGCCCCAGGCTCACCGGGCCAGCGTGGAGGCGGAAGCCTGTGAGCATAGTGCCAGTGAGGGGGGTGAAAGAGCTGCCACAGATGGGGGGCTTCTCGATGAGGGAGCGCAGGCTGCTGTTGTCGTGGGAGCCGGGCAGGTCGATCATGCCAGGCAGGTCGGGGAGGAAGTTGCTGAGCTTCTCCTTCACCTTCTTGCCGCAGAACTTGTTGTAGGCATGCTCCAGATTGTAGTGTGTGATCAGGTTGGTGCTGCCCGTCAGCTCCGTGGTGCCTGCACCAGCCGCCCGCCACAGGGAGGGGTTGGGGGGTGCTGCAGCCCAGCCGGGTCCCCCGCCCCGCCCCCCCTCC